TTTCCATCTTTGTGCATACAATAATCTCGCTGCAGTTATCATGTACAAAAACAAAGTTCCAAAAGATTATATACAAATTAGATATTGAAGGCATCATTACAAACCATCCTGTCAGCCCTACCAGGCAGACCAGACCCAGAAATCAATTCCACAGGAAGGCTAAAACTATTTTTATTGAGAGTGGCTATAATAACAATCTTCCAAGTCTGATTGTGCTGGACCTCCTCTCCCTTCTTATACTCCTGCGACCCAGGGCAGTGTCTGTCTCAGCCTCTTCCACATATTTTCTGTCTGTTGTGGACTTAAGATACGTTTCACCCTTCATTGCTTTGGTAATAGAGCTTGCATATCTCCATCAGGCCCATCTTCCTTACTCTCTACACATCCCCACGTGAAGCAAATGTTAGAATTATTATTAATTATTAATAAACAGGAGGAATGTGAAAAGAGGCCAGCATGGATATGGGCAGAGCCCCCTAAAAAGCCAAATTCCAATATTATCATGCTCTTAAACACACAGCACAGCCGTACTAGGACTACTGTCTCTGACTTCTTGGAGACTGAAAAAGAGTGAAGAAGAGGGCCACCCAATGCCAGTCCCCCCATGGAAAGACTGTGAAAATAGGAAAGAAGACATTTTCTCCCTCTAGACCCCAAGAGGGGCATTGCAGGGAACAACAACAACGACTTATTACATTTATCTGCCACCTGACTCCCAGTGATTCTGAGCGGTTTACACTTGTTAAAAACATTTTAAAACAAAGAACACTACAAAAACAGCTCAAAAGAACAACAACGGCAAAGAAAACAAACCCGGAGGGGAACAGAAGGGAAGAAAGGGGAGTCAGTCATCCTCGCCAAGGGCCTGGCCGAAGAACCAGGTCTTTAGGGCCCTTTGAAACACCAGCAGGGTGGGGGCTTTTGGGATCTGTGGGGGAGAACCTCATTCCAGAGGGCAGGTGCTGCGCAGAGAAGCAAAGCTGGAGCAAGGACGCCACAAGGCACTGTATTTGCATCCCACCCCCAAGCAAGGAGGACTGTTAACTAAACAGGTGTTTTATTAAAGCTTCAGAATTCCCAATATCATAAAATATTCCCAAGATACACCTGTGGCCAGGAGACCTTCTCTGTTCTGGATGATACAGCTGGGAGAAGAAGGTGCAGAAGGCCAGGGAAAGGCTCTCAGGAGCATTGGCCAAGCCTGTGGATGACACGCATCTTCGGTGCAGTTGTAATTCTGCAGACTCCAAGCAGAGGGACGCAACTTCACGCTCCCAGCTGATCCCACACACAACTCCCACATGCCTTTGCCTTTGGTCATACTACCTGAAGCTTATGGGGGAGAAGCCCCAAGCATTTGGCATGGGCAAAGAGGCTTCCTCCAACTGTCCCATGTTCTATGGCCACTGTGTTTTTTTTCCTGTTGAAAAGACTCTCATCTGGGATCTTTTAAGGAATTCATGCCCTGATGAGGGGAAAAAAGTTCCCTTCTCCTGCTGCAGTAGAGAAACATACTCGCTTTTAAGAAACATCATCTCAGGCAGTTCCATACCCACTGATGACATCAGCATTCCAGCCCAAATGTCTCTGACCCCAGAGGGGAAGAGCAAAGTAAGCCACATTCCAGGCCATTTGCTCCAGGGACGCGCCTGCTTCTTCTCCAGGGCCACCACCTCCATTCCCTAGGATCAAGGACATCTCTGGAAGGGCAGCATTTCCCCTCACCACCAGGGCACATCCTTCTTCTTAACACAGCAAAGCTTCTGGTCATCTAGGGACCAATAACACTAAGTGGCACACACGGGCGGCTGGTTGCAAGTATCACGGCTGACCATATCATCTTCCTTCACGGTTGTCCTGAGCGAGTCATCTCCTGAGCCACAGCCACATGTTAAAGAGACAGGCAGAGACCAACATGGAGTAAATGAACAGCTCCTTCTGGCGCCAACTCACACTTTGCTCTTCCAGCACACGGAGTTGCCCAGAAATGTTAGACAACTGCATTTGAAACAGGAGAGAGGAACAGGAGAAAGTTACCTGGCCATTACTGTGCACCCCATGCCCAAGAGGCAGGACGGGATCCTCTTTTGGGGGCATCTCAGTGCCTTACAAGGGAAGATCCATTGGCTGAATTGGCCAATTTCGTGGCCCTCTCCCTTACCTGCCTCCTCATTGCCATAATCTCTGGGGTGCCAGACTCCTCTGGGGATCCATCCGAGACCAGGTTCATCTCCCGGGAACTAAAGGGGAGGAGGTGAAAACACATCTTTTCCATACAGGGAAGGAGCAGAGAGGAGGGAGGGAGGAAGAGCAGGAGTGGTCCAAGACTTCCAGCTATCCTAACGTCTTCGCTGCACAGAGTCCAGTTTTCTGGGCCCTACACCTGAAGCTTATTTCAGGGCAAGCAGGAGACCATCCTCTGCCATATCGAAGACAGGAGCCTAAACTAGATCAATGGGGGTGTGGTGGGGGAGATGTGTAGTTCCAAGAGCATTTCCAATTTCTAATTGCTTGGCCACACGCACATACCCTCCTGTGTGCATCCTGGTTCTAGTCAGTTGAGAAGACAGCCCAGAGCAGCAGCTGACAAAGGCAGGACAGCATAAAACAAATGCTAGCTCGGGAGAAGAGAAATTGAGAGGGGAGGTTCAAAAGGAGCACCCAAAGGAAGCAACTTTCTCTTTGCCTAAGGAGGAGTGGTAAATGGGGGGAAATTGCATCCCCAACGGTCCAGAACCGGGATTAAAAGAAACTCTAAATTACCCCCTGATCTAGGGAGTGGGCAGAGATGGGACGGTCGGGAGCTGGAAGGGCCTCCTCTCAGGTGGCTGCTAACGAAAGAAAGGGCCAGGGCCATTTTGTCTTTATTTTTCCTTTTGTCCCGTAGCCAAGCCAAAGCTCTAATCCCAGAAGTCTGGAATTGGAGATCCAGGAATGAAAAAACATTCTAGAGAAGAGCGAAGCTAGAGGCCAATCTGCTTTAGCTTGTATTCAGTGTGTCTTTTTGCTACATCTTGTCCTCTCTCTATACAGGTCTGTGTTTGCAGACACGCACTCAAGAATTCTGGGCTGGAGTAACAGCCATTGAGATCTAAAAAAAACCCCAACTGTTGGCAGCAAGGTTTATTTCCTTTCGACTTTCTTTTGCTTCCTAACCTTGATATGCATAATAGGCCCACATTCTTCCTGAATCAGGACTCTCATTCCAAAAGGACTGTAGCCTAGCACATTCATCTCACAGGGAGTGGAGGTCACAAGTGTTTCAGAGCCACCAAGGGCTTGTCTGGGGAAGGGTAATTGCAGCCGCCCCCCCCCCCCCCCCGTATTGTGGGAGAAGGGCTCATGGCTCAAGTGGGGAGCCATGAGGGAGATGGGAGGGCAAGAAGGGAGATGGGGGGGCAAGCCAACACATCCCAGCATGTGTGTATTCATAAGTATACCCTATTACAGGACAAGTTGGTGCCAAGCTGATAAATCTTAACAGTAATAGGCAGAAGTGTTCACAGATGCATTCATCAGGAAGGGAGCCACTATGAGATTGAAGAAAGGGTCCCACAGAGCTGAAGTTGGTCAATTACTTCTGAACATGTGCAGAAGGCACTGATATTTAAGGTTGACCTGTAGATAAAAACTAAAAGGCTGTGGGGGGGAAACAGGGCAATAAATGGTGTGGGGAGCATACCAGAGAAAGTAGTCCAGGCAGGTCTGTTCAGCATTGAAGATGTGGCTGCTGTGCACACAAACACCCCCCTTCCCTCTTCCTAACTGAAAAACATGCGCCGCTTCCCAGTGCGCTACATGCAGAGCTCGACAGAGTGGTTGGGGGCTACCTGATTTGGACACGTCTGGGCTTCCAAAGCAGCTGGAGCAGCTGGAGCCCCAGGAAGTGCAGTGCTTGAAGGACATTCCTCCAGGAGTAGATCCTGCTCTCCCCAGAGAAAACTGGGAACCTGGGACACGGAGGCAGGGTGCTTGGCTCCAGCCTGCACGGTGATAAGCAGAGTGGTGATTTTCCCTAAAGCTGGAAGCTGAGCAAGCCCTTGCTTGCCCACAGACGGGACAAGCAGTCCTTCCCACAAGCTCAATCTTGAAGAAAATGGACCTTCTAAAAGAAGTGGAAGGACTTGCAAAAAAAGAAAAAAGAAAGCCTTTCGGGACACCAAACCCAGTCCCCTCCTTTTATGGTTTGTCTTTCAATATTCACAGTGAACTGAACGAACTTCAAACTGAGACAGATACTCTGCTGTGGAAGCCCAGAAGCAGTCAGACATCTCTTCGAAGTCCCATGCTCCGCGTGTATCTCTCCAGCTGGTGCGGGAAGCCAACAGCTATGGCCAATGAGGGGCCATCCAGCTTCTGATTAAAAAATCCCCTAAGAAGGACAGCCCCCACGTCCCACACCAGTTCCTAACCTTCAGCCAAAAGAAGTCCCCTTCTTGTGACTGGAGCCTTCTCGTCTGAGCCCTGCATGCTGAGCTAACAGAAAGCCTTGAAATGTCGTCCAGAAATGTCTCCCTCCTCCCACTGCACCAACTGACAGGCCTCTAGACACTTAACAGCCTCCTCCTCCTCCCTGCATTGCCTCCTCCCTTCCTCCAGTGGCCACTGCTGTGCACTGGCACAGCTCACCACCTCATCTAGCTATAAAATGCCAACCCACTCTAAGCCAGGCCCCACCCCAGCTTCTTGGAAGGGGGAGAAGCCAATGCTAGCTTCGCCAGCCAGAAAGGGAGGCTCCAAGTGACTGGGATGGTTCTTGCCTACCTTCTCCTTGTCTCAACCACAGCCCCACACCTGCAACCTAGGCTGCCTCCTGTACCTGCAAAGGGAACCTGCAGCTTACAGAGGAAATTCCCTCCTCCCAGTGAGACATTGTACTCCACTGCTTTCTCTTACCTGCCCTGCCTCTGCCTGATCCTCTCCATTGCCACCTGAGGGGTCTCGACTGGCATCCTCTGTCCCCAGGTTGTATCCAGAAATGTCTGTTGGACACAAGAGGCAAGGAAGTGAACCTGGGCTGCCCAGCCGCCTCTGTAGTGACCCTGGAAGCCCTGTGAACGGGCAGACCTCCCTCCAAGAGGCCCTCCAGAAGAGTAATAGGGAGCTCTGTCAACAGCCCAGGACGCCCAGTAGGGCCAACGGCCTTCCGCTCCACATGGCTCCCTGGCACCGCATGAGATATTGCACCAAGCCAACAGGTCTCAGCATTCGCCAGGGCACATCCCCCTGCAGTTCCCTAGCAGTAAGAATGCAAACCAAGCCATTGGCTTATTTAATTCTTAATTACACATAACCACAAGCAGATACCCTGCTCACACGTGTGCACCCACATCTCCCATTAGCGCATTCTCTACTGAGCCTAAAGAAATTGGTCACCCATCAGTCATCAGCCACTGCAAGCAAAACTTCCTCTGAGCTATCGGAACATGCCATAGATAGTTTTTGCCCACTTTGACTGGCAAGATGCGAGAAAATCACCCCCTGTGCATTTGGGGCTGGTTCAACTGATGGCTCAGAAGAGTTTGCAATGAAGATAGGTGGAGGGCAGGTGGCACGCTGGTTTCCTTGCTCTGTCCAGTGAGGATCAGCACTTGCAGCCCGAAGACTGGGAAAGAGGATTTCAAGCCTGGAAGCGTTATGCACAGGCACACCACACACGTGCACACTGTTGGGGGGGATATCCATGTTCTTCTCCTCTCCTGCTCTCCACCCCAGCAAGACCATCCCTGCTTTCTCCCAAGGATGGAGCAGGACAAAGCACCCTCTGTAGCAGACCACCTGCTCTTCACACAGAGGCTCCTGGATTCAACCCACAGCAATGGATTCAGGCATGGCTAAAGTCCTGGGAAACCTCTTCTGCTCCTGTCCCGGCCCCCACACCCAACTGATGGACCAGGGGTCATTCAGTTCAAGTGCATTCTCTTTATGAAGCATAGAATGAGGTTTCCCCTCAGGTGTGACCTCAGAGACCTCTCTGTCACCTTGGGAAAGTGGGGTCTCAGCCTCCCCCACCCCTGGGCTTCTTGCTACTATGGCACAGTCTGAATTCA